TTTCCACATCTTATGTATCTTTCCCAAACATACATGACTGTGTTCAAACCTGTAATTCATCTCTCTCTCGTTCTCTTTTCTTCAAAACATCCCTCTCAATTTCTTTCCAACCCATGCATGTTCTCTTCTCTTCAACTACCGCCTCAGCGTCTATATACTATTGTTATTCGGGTGTTGTTCTTAGCTCTTACACACTTGCCCTCGTGTTAACGTTCTTTACCATTTTCCTGCATAATTATTGGTTGACTCCTTAACAGTGGATGGATATGAAAATTGCAGTATGTTGATTCCACAATGTTTTCATTACATCTACCACACTTTCCCTTTTGATCGGTACCCCGACTCACGAAAAGTATGAAATATTTATTTGAATATTGAATGTTCTGAGCCGAGAACCCTTTTTGTATCTAGCCACACATCTCTTATCGACACGTACCATCTCTCAATAATCATTGTTATTGCCAGTGTTTCATTTTTATTCCTCTTATTCTATCCATCTCCCCCCTCTCTCTCTCTCCCTCTTTCCCTACAAGCCCAGCCCTCCCCGTAAGGAGAGATGAGCACGCATGCAGGAAGGCGTGAAATCATTTTTCAGCTTGAAATTTTCCAATTAATTCTACCAGCGCGATCCGTGAAATCTAGTGCTTATGGGCCCATTAAAGATTCATGTACTCATTTCAGGCAGGGGCATCTCGTCTACACGCTCAAGGCACGGAGGCGAGACGCGTTATGTCAAAGCTACCGGCAATACAACAACCATCAAGTTAAATTTGTCTAATCGTGTATTGTTTGCGTAAATATAAGACCTAGAGAAAACACCGTTTCTTGTTTCTTGGCTGGGCCAAGCAAATTCTTTTATATTAGAGTTGCGAAGAAAAAAAGCCGAGCGTGTATCTTACCCGCATGTTATCAGGTTCAAACTCAAGTCACAAGTTGTTAGTTTCCAACTATATCCTGGGAAGCAGAGTTATTTGGGTTGAATATGACAACCAAATAATGTATTTTAGTACAGAAATATCTTACTCGAATCATTAACACAATTCACTGTTATATACTACTAATTAGCAATGATTATCTATTTTCAATCCCCCTCACAGCTCACAATTATATATTTTGTTAGCTCCAGAAGCAATCCTATCATTAGCTATTGTTTCGTTGTCACAAGATGTGTTTAGTTAGCTCCTACGGTGTGCACGGTGTATTCACTCTATTGTTCAGCCATCACGCTGTTTCGCGTTACTTTATTGCGATTCTTTCTGCTAGCTTCAGATATGATTATGATCTCACATCCCGCCTCCGTTTTTTATGATGTCCAAGTCTCAAGCGAATACACCACTTGTTTACGGTGTGTGTATGAATTATGATATACCGTGTGCGATGATGCGGAACCGCGTTTTGCAAAGATGAGACTGGTGATAATAAGTCGTTTCAATTCGCGCTCTACTTGCCAACCGCGAACGAGCAAGGGGTCGGGCCATGTAGCACGTAACTGTTTGGGGAGTAGTCGAGGGAATATTATAGTCGGTTCGTTTTTCGTGTGAAAGTACTTCGCGCAGCCTGTTGTAAAATTGATGGCTTTATTGTAAAAACCTGTTGCTCATTCCCTGGCCCTAATCAATCCCACTGTAGTTTCAAACCCGTATAGCAGGTCGAACAAGGGTCAGTACTATTAATACAAACTATTCTCCATGGGAAAAAGTGGTACATGTATATTATATACATATTAATTATATACATATATATATATATATATATATATATATATATATATATATTATGTATGAATTTTTATCTAAAGGTGATCAACAACACAAAAATTGCTGTTGATTTCTCATAATTTCGATTAAGAAAAATTATCTCCAATATTCCTGATATTTTTCAGGTACGTAATACAAGTTAGCATAGTTATTCCTGTCATTATTTTATAACTATTATATTTTTGTTATTTATTAATTTCAAATTGGTGAGAGTATCTATGCGTGACATATAAACAAAGTAGTAGTATTTATGAAAAATGTTGGTTGCCACTATTACAATATGATACTATTACTATTACTACTACTACTTCTGCTACTACTACTGCTACTACTACTACTACTATACTTCCACTACTTATACTACTACTATTAATACTACTACTATTACCTTTATTTCTGATATTTCATCACAACATTAAATATCTCAGCGTTCAAAATATTACCATACATTTAAAACACAATGGACAGAATTTCCAATTGTTGCAATAGATAACTGGGCTCCTCCTGGACGACATGTATAATAGTTCCAAGCATCAGATCAATATATCTTCAATCGCTTTACATTCTGCATAGGCATTCGAGACACAGTCACCATTTCCCCCGTTGAGTTCTTGGCAACCATAATTCAATAGCACATTGATATGTTTACCGGTCTGAATGTCGTGAGCGTACGACTATTGTATGGATTTGGAACAGTCTATAAAAGCTCACCTCTGCTTTCTAAGAAACTGAAAAAATGAATAACAGTCATGACGGAGTATAAAGATGAAGGGGGGGATGATGATGATTTTAATTTTCACGAAGGCGAGAGAGAGAGAGAGAGAGATAGAGAGAGTAAGGTGTGGGTTGAATTATACGGAGAGAGGTCTAAGAAAAGCAATTATGGAAAGGAAGGAATTCTGGTAATGAGAGAATATGTGGGATATATTGGCATTATATCGAAAGGCCAGAAGCAGACATTATAGGAGGAAAATATTATAAATGAATGAAATTTAATATCAAAATTGAAATGAATTGAAATCATATTGATAAATGGAAGTATACATTGTAGATGTTCTTTTTCTCTTGTTTTCTGTTGTTTTCAAAAGTCAAGTACTTTCATGCATGCAAACCTCATACATGAACTACAAACTGACTTCCGAGTTCGAAGAAATGAAAGTATTAATATCAAGTGGTTGTATCATACATATAGAAGTTAACATAGTTATATACTATAAGGTACATGAGCGGGTTAATCCCAAGCAATCTCTGAAAATCGAAAGCTTATTGAAAATTTTCAGTCCAGTAAGACCTTGTTGAAATTTGGTAAGTCTTGAATGAACGTTTATTGAATTCAAAACAGAATAAACGAAAAGCGATATTACTATCGATTTTCAGACTTATGAGTAAGGTTTCATTCAGAGGTCACGTGATCATATCTAGGTCAGGTGACTATTTTGGTAAGGTTGAAAGAACTCTCGATCAATAAACATACAATCAAGGTCTGAATCAGGCCCAATCTGTGTGATACATAGATTTATGAAAATACTGAATGGATTTCATGAGTGGACGATTATGTACACATGCACTCTCCAAATCAAGATTTTCATGAATTCGAAATTCGTTGAGAAATAGGGCATTCCTGCTCTACCCCCTCTCTCTCTCTCTATTTAGCATCATCTCATTCTCTCTTTTCTTTCTCTCTTCCCCTCTCTCGAAATCGCCATCGATGACGTATCGTTTGTGAGAATGAACGCAGGCCGTATTTGAAGTTCGTAATCAGTAGGATGTAATGCTGTTTTCATCGACGACAAAGTCGGATCCAATTTTGAGTTGATTTAGCGGAGAAATTAGATTATGCCGAACAGAGTTGCCGGAATTAGTCCTGAGATATATGTCAGGGTGGATGCAAGTTGCTCTTTAAACTGGGCAGCTAGACCAGCGATCATTTCGTAGATTTTTTTTCATTTCTGTCCGTCAATGAAAGATCAGAGAAGCTTCAGCCATGAATTTTACGATGCCATAAACAAATACGAAACAAAATTATTTCAATCGTTGTTCAGATAGTTCACCCTCTCCTTTCCGAAAGGGCAACCAGCCAATGGGGCATGTTGACCGGTTTGATTGGTGAATAGCACGAGATGCACTCTTTTAGAGCCATTCTCTTTTACATCCATACGTGAAATAGTTATTTTCATTATTGAATTTTGATTACAACGATCTAAATATGAGTTGTAAACAAGGTTTGCTATTGCTCTTAAATAAAATTCGATTGGATGTGGTCGAAAAACAAAAAAACAAACAACACCAAGATTCTCGGCTTTCCAGGTCGAGTATTTCACACGGACCAAAGGACTCCTATTTGAACGATGGTAACAACAGATTAGTAGATGTACTTACAGAGAAATATATTCCACAACAGGTTGTAAGATGTGTAAGATGTAAATGCAAACTGTACTTGTAACTCAACAGAATTCTCAAACGACTGCTTCATAGGTTGTTGACCTGTTACGCTGTCTTTGAATACGTTATGTCACGCTGCATGCCAGAGTTGTACACATCCTTGTATATGCTGTACCTGCGGGCGATAACTCAGGCGCCATTGAATTGTTACGTCTCGGAAAAGAAGGCCAATAGCACATGTCATCATGAATGAAGAAAAGGAGAGGGGAGGGGATGAAGTGACTGAATATAACAGTCAATAAACATTTTATTACAACTTGATTGACGAATAGAACCAAAGTGACAGGCCAAACTCGTCACCATGGAGGTTCTGTTATTAGTTACATGTCAAATACTCGTTGAGGAAGTGATAAGAATCTATACCGGCTCGTTATGGTCAATAAATGCTTGATGAAGGTATGAGATGTAATACGGCCGGACATTATTGGCGGCCATCTTGGTCCAAGCGATGATCTTTATTGAAAGAAATGAAATTGATGAAACCGCAGGAAAGCGGTTTCCTCGAAAATGGCCACAAACCTGAGTCATGTAAGGCATCACATAGTATCGTCGCTGATCTTTTGCGTGAAGTTTGTTTCAGTATTGTTTCTAAAATCTACAGTTTAGGACAATATATAACTATGATCTTTATTGTGAATTAATCGCTTGAATTAAAAATAGAAAAGAATGAAGGTCTGTTCCTATCAAAATACCATGTATGGATTTAAATACATGGATGTTAACAAAACCATGGACACAAAATGATTACTTACATGATAAGGTAACGTTCATTTTTATTGTTTTTTCTTCTATTACCATTAGCAACCCGAGCTGAGCCTATGCCCAACCGGACCTCTTCCGGTCGATCCCACGTCCATAAGCAAGAGAAGCCTACGCGCGTCCGCACAGTGCTAAACGAGAAACAACTCCACACGCTACGGACGTGCTACGCGGCCAATCCGCGTCCTGACGCGCTCATGAAAGAACAACTGGTCGAGATGACGCAATTGAGCCCTCGTGTGATCCGCGTATGGTTCCAGAACAAACGATGTAAGGACAAGAAGAGGACTGTGCTCATGAAGCAGATTGCCGATCAGCAGGCCTCCAAGGTATGTCTCAAATTTAAAGTAAATTCAACAAACAAACAAATACAACGAGCAAACAAACTAAAACACATGCAAATGAAACTTCTATTCGTGATTATTTTAATGGGGAAATTATTTTTGTGTTCGCTTCCAATCAAGCACATTTGCATCTTAATAACACAAATGTTATCATTGTCAGAGATAGACTACCTTGAAATGAAATACTTGGTGAAGTATGTACTTGATTTGAATTATGTTGAGAGAAAGAAGGATTTACTAATAAAGAAAACTAATATTAAACAAACAAAGCAAGAATAAAGGGGAAATGAAGAGAAATTGGAGATCAAAACAAAAGATTGAAGAAAATAAATACGAGGAAAAAAGAAGGTAAAGATACGACACTTTGACATAAAGATAAAGTAATTGTAGAAGTAGTAGAAGTAGCACTAAGTACATAAATGTCGATGGTGGTATTAGTGGTGTTGATAATAATGCTGATATTGATGGTGATCCTGATGTGAGTTATATTGATAGTGTTACAGAAGATGATTAGATTATATTCTCATGGTTATGATGTTTGATGCTGACAAGTGGTTTTTAATTGATACGTTTGGACACGCGATGTCAATGTCTTCCTCAGAATATGTCATGGTCATTACTGATCTTTAACAGAATGAGTGATAACCAATTATTTGTATTTCATTACCCGAATATGTAATTATTGTGACTATAGCTAGCTGATTAGTTTAAAGATATAGCTTTTGATATTAAAAATTTAAACGTAAATGGTTTTAAATTGATGGTCGGTATATCAATATATCGTTTAATCTTCAAACTATGTCACGCACAGCATATCTCCATCATCAGCACTTTTCGCATCCTATAATAACCGGAATATTTACCCCACATCCCGGGCTTGGCAATTTCCACGGTCTAGTTATTTGATGATGCTGAAACGGGAACAAACATTTGCGTTTCGCCAAGAGAGAGAACAAAGATAGAGGAAGAGAGTGTGTGAGAGAGAGAGAGAGACTCCTCGTCATCATACAGTATCCCCTTCAATTTGACCTGCGTAATGAGAAAGCGATAAGACCGCTTAATATCACATTCAACTCGTGTTGTAATGACACATTGACAGCTAGGCAGACAGGCAAGTGCATGCACGCAACCGAACAAATTGCTCGCAATTTCGCGCCAATAAAAGTGGTAATATTTGGGGGGAATCCTCTGTAAGCTAAAACACATCACTACCAATCAGTCATTCTAAGTGATGCGGTGATGTGTCTTATTAAAAAAGAAAGATCTAGTCAGCGACGGAAATTGAAACGCGCGATTAATTTAGGTGAGATTTCCGACCCAAAATATATGTTTGTTTTGGGAGATGAATTGGGTAATTCTTTGGAGCTTATCAGCGACGACGCTTTGCTTGGTGACATGACCTTAATCTCTCCATTTAGCAAATACTTTCACTGACTGCTTTAAATTCGGATGAAACGAAATAATCTTGAAATATTATTCTTTCCAAAATTCGTCAATATGGCAAGGTATGGGAAATATTTCATGTTTTTATCTTAAATAATTATTTTACGATGAAGTAATTTCAGGAAGATTAATTTTGTAAGACCAGTTGAACCCCTCTGCTCTGTCTCAATTGCCCCCTTACTCATTCATTTTCTGACGTATTTGTTTATTATTCATATCTGGATACAAATTTCCAATCATTAAGCTAAGCAGAGCCTAAATTATGTCGAGGGACCCCCACGCACAGCACCACTGTACAGCATAGCATCATTTGGTCGATGTTAACCAAGCCCTGTGCAAGCATGCATACATTTAGCCGGTCTAATCAGGGTGAAAAATCAAAGCATATTTTCATCGATATTTGGACGGGGTCTGTAAAACACGTCATCTTTGAGTCTTGCGCTAATTCCATCGATCTCTCTCCCTCTGCATACGCAATCGGGGATTGTCTCTGTCGATCGCGGTACACACAAACGCCAATGGTAGATTTCATAAGAACCCTTAAACTCGTTCAGTGACGACCAAATGAACACGCAGTACAAACCAAAGAAATGAATTCGGGTTTTGAGCGGGAAGGCTAAATGTTAAATTGACGGTAAATGTCTCGTCTCCGATATACGCTTGATTATTTGCCTTTATTACTCCGCAAAAGCACAAATCAGGGATGGGGATGATGTGTATCAGTATAGCGCATTTACCCGGATAATTCGTTTCGTTGAATCTAGCAATTCCTGAAACAAGTCGGAATTGCAGAAAACAGTCTGTTGTATTCTTAATATTATGGAAATGCTAAACAGTCGATGTTTATCATAGTGTATGCATTGTTTTAGAAGGTGAAAATGGCTTCTTTCTATTAATTAGTGTGCTTTCACGGATACTCATGCATTGTTGATTCGTCCAGATCATAACATTCGTTAAACTGTGTTATCTTTGGTAGATGTAGACATATATAGCGGAAGCTAGTTAAATCCTGTCCAACTTTGGTAGCTTTCCATTACACAAATCCAGGCACTCCTTACGCACACAGGGCTTTACAGAGATAGCAAGTGACCATATACGTTGCCTGAATGGCGATTTAATATTTTAACCTTGTCCAGAATATATCAATAAATACAAATCATTTAGCATTGACTACTATCGACCAAGCCTGTCGGTAAGGTTACATTGATTTCTCCATGCCCACTTTGTCGGCAGATCTTTTGTTCAAGAGTTCTACTATATTCATTTAGAACAGTATTGAACGGGCTAATTAAGGGGCTAGTCGGTAATTACGTTCTTCTATACTCTCTTCCGTCTGTTTCTGCCCTGGGGAGTAATTAATAAAGACAGGGCTAAAGAGATAGTCGGTCGCGCAAACAAAATACTCCTGAGCTTGTTAACTGTAGCAAATGAGGTGGTAGGAAAATAATTGATAGAATCACAGAAGTAGAAGGCACACGTGCTTGATACATCACCACAAGCCATTGGAGAAAGAAGACAACGAAGTTTGAGATGATATCTTAAAACATGCATTTTAACAACAACAAACTATTTTAGGACCTTAACCCTGGAAAATGAACCTATAACGAGGACAAAGATTACGAGGTTGCATTTATCTACATTACTGTGATGAAAGTTGTCTTGACCCGTACATAAAGTCATTGTAAAATCCGAATACCAGTAGGAAATTAATTGGATGCATAACAGTAGTTTATATTAGTTATAATTAACACTTACATTTTATGTTTCATATTGGAAATCAGTCCTGTTCATCAGACATCTTATCTGATGAACAGGACATTACATAGATTACTACATTTACAGCCTTATAACATAATAACATAATAAAGCAATGTTATTCAAATATCACTCGTTATCCTCAAAGATGACATGCTATCATATCATTACTGGATAGCTGTGTTGAATATTATTTGCAAGAAGATCACTATTCTCTTTTGCAAATTGCATCAATGTCAAGAGTGGGATTTGCCTATGCAAGAACATGTTGTCGTGTATATATGCTAATGGAACAACAACAACAACTGTTTTCTAGGTGGAGCGGTCGTCAAATGGAATTAAACCCCGTGCCACCTCCCTGCGCCCTCCTCTCGAATATATAATAACCCGCCTCTTGCAGGAACAGAAGCCAGATCGAGGTAAACTTGACCGGGAAACAAGGACCCTGAGGAAACGTTTAGTGACATTACGCGCTTCACTTGTAATTCCCTCTGCTCCACCCGCCCAGAAGGCGCAAAAACACGGATGCAGTCCCGATCTCATCATGCTATCCCTTACGGTGATATCATCGTCGTTGCATCCTTCCAGAGCAGCCGTGCATCATTCCAACCCCCCCCCCCCTCTCTTCCATCCCATTCCATCCCTCCACTTCATCCTTCCTCTGTTTCTTGTCCCTCTTCGCTTCCGTGTCGGCCAGAACAAAGTGATTTCGTCGTCGTGAGTGAATCATAAGAACGGTTTGGCAAAACTCCTGTAGGTATGTCGACTCGACGAAGCTAGCTAACCAAACTCTAGGGAACATTCTCTGTAGAGTAGTCTGGATATTGATTGTCTCTACACCTCTCTAGGATGACACGAACGCGGGGATGGTTCCACAGTAGTCTGAAATGAAAGTGATTGATTAACGAACATCCATGTTAAACGTAACATGCCACGTTGCTTGTCTAACATGGAATACACTCATAAAGATGCATTATTAAAAATTATCTCAGAAATTTGGTTAAAGATTCCTTTACTTAAGCTCTTGAAAAAAAATGTAATCAAGATTATTTTGGTCTGACTATTGATACATGAACGCTCCCTTTTCTACCGCGAACCTATATGATACACATCTTAGAATTGAAAAGAAAGAAAGAAATAGAAATTTGTGGAGGATGGATCTCATCTCCTGCATTCTGCATGGCGGACGATGAAATTTCTTCTCTCCCTTAATCTTGGTGTCTTTTTCACCTTCAGTGGATGAGGGAAGTGTTGTTGTGCAGTCGAGAGTGACTTGGTCCGTTCGCATCATCGGAGTAAAAGCATTGACAATCTAGTTTCGATTCGGGCATCATCCTCGTGACATCTTTACACTCCATCTGCCACACCAACCCCCTCTTCCCACACCACCAATCTTCCCCATGCAGAAACCTCACGCAAACCAAGATACTCCACTCCCCCCTTCACACCACCAATCTTCCCCATGCAGAAACCTCACGAAAACCAAGATACTCCATCCCCCTTTCACACCACCCATCTTCCCCATGCAGAAACCTCACGCAAACCAAGATACTCCACCCCCCTTTACACCGCCACACTGACTACAAGTCGACCGATGATTTACAACATCTTAGCTATTCGGAGCAGTGTAACTTTCTGCTCGGACTTCTGTTGGATTGATATCGATCTCACTGGTGTGACCGGGGTATTATGGATGAGGATGGGGAATATAATTTTCCAACAGATAATCATAAAAAGGGGGTTGCTATCCCACAGGGTGGGGTGTGGTGTATCCTACCCGGACTAGG